AATAACTAAATTTCCCACTTCTAGTGCTTTTCCGGCTTCTATTGTTTTGCAACGTGAATGGGTAAAAGTGTTAGTTTGTCACTTCACATTTATCCAAAAGCAATGTCATCTCTGAGAGGAATTAGTCAAAGTTTCAGAATAATTCTGTGATTTAAAGATTCTGTTACGTAGAGGGTCCCAATGGGATTAATCAGGAGAAAAAAGCGCTAACTTATTCACGCAACTCTTCAAGGAACCGTGAAACTATCAAAGTGGACCCAACTCACTTTGGACCTTCATAACCTGGATTGCAGTAGCACTGGCCATTGAAGGGGAAACCGTTCTTACAGTTGTTCCCTGAAATGTATTTCTTTACATTTTGTGAAAAGTGCTACCGTCGACTTGCTCTAAACTCAGGATTTAATTTACCTGAGGGGACGCAAATCGCATTTGTGTATCGATCGAATGTATATCCAAATTGATCTATTCCAGAGAACTAAAAGTTTGTTGAATTTTTCACTTGAAAATCCTTACGTACATTTGAATGTATCATGCAGAATGGGTAGAAAAAAATGATGATTTCATTACTGGTGAAAAAAAGCGAATTTTTGAAAAAGCGTAGTGGCCGTTCATACGAAGGAATATCTTATACGAAAAATATTAAGCAAAAGCAGGAGCCGAGCAGGAGCAAATATCTTACTATGTAGTACGTCGAGGCTACCTTGTTCTCATTCATGTCAAGTGAATTGATACACCCTCTGCGAGACCCTGTCTGATTGCGAGATGTGCCGTTACGGTCAAGCAAGATAGGGCGTCGCGCGATTCCCGCGCTAACGCGATTCCCGCGCGCGACTTACTTGCGAGCCCGATTTAGGCGCGCGCTTCAAGCGTGAGGCGCTAGACATGACCAGTGACAACTTTGCACATAGAAGCGCTTCAATTCGGAAGTAGTATTACCTTGACAAAGAAGTCAGTAACAGATCCCTTTTGCGGACATGCGAACTTCGTTGACACCTGAGGATATCCACACTGCCTTAATGAAAACTTCATAGATGCATATTTCAAAACAAAGAGAAAGTCAACAGAAACATACCATCTGTCCTGCATGACTAAAGGCATCGTCATATTGTAGTCATAACCAAGTATGGCGTAGTTCAACCGTCCTTCAAGCGATGGAAGCACGTCGTAGTGGAAAGGTGAGAGACCGACGGCATCCGCAACCAAATAATTGGCATCTGCAAACAAAACACTTCAACTGGAAGGAAAAGTTCCATCAGACAGCCTGAAAGTAACTCTCATATATTACCGGATAGCGAATTGGCATATAATTCTGGATAGTCGTCGCCTGGTGCAAGTGTGAAGCCATAGAACACCTTGAATGAGTTTTATTGGTTTTATTTGTTATGAAAAAATAATTTCATCATCTAGAACGGAACCTCAAGAAGGGTTCGAGCAGCGAAACAATTTTAAAGATCGTTCATCTCAATTTGATATATGGTCCCCGCTTAAATTGACTTACTTCAGATTTAGCTTTTACACATTTATTTTATAATGGATAGCTATTTTGCAAGAATTCGNTCAGACAGATACATTGCTTCCAGTTGTCAGTGTTACATATTTCAATGGGCGGTTCAGAAAGTAACTACGATTTCTAAGGGAATTCTAAGGGAACAGAATTGTTTTCTCCTGCTGAACGAAACTAATTCAGTAATATACACCGAATTGTGTTTGATCAACTTTTGCCACTTTTCAGGCCATTTCGTAGTTTCTCTCTCATAGAGCTTCTGGTTTTTTGACAAAAAACTGAACTACTCAAAATTGATATCGTTATTTTCGTCGCAGGTTTTCCCATCGAATGGTTCTGCAACGATCGAGAATACGCCACGATTTTTTTGCCGGATAGAAGTAGAAAAGTAAAATGAGCCGAAAATATTCCATCTAAAACTTCATGTCCAAACTGATTTTGAAGTTAAAATCGGGAACGGCACTTGTTCAGTTTCCCTCAAAAAAAAAGCAGACATATACATACCTGTATGTCAAATAAAAAAACCACTTTTAAAAGCTTCGAACAAAACTTTGAAAAAGTAACTTTCAGAAATCGTAAACACTTCCTCAACAACCTAATAGTTACCGAATACCCACGTAACCTAAGTAATTTAGCAGTAATACTCATGTCGAACTTGGAATTTGGATCACAAACACTGCAAACCCTAATTACATGTTGCTATTTTGCACTCATGAAATAGTAAAAACTCTTAATGAGAGTGTAAAAGTTAATGAAGTGGATCGAATAGAAATTGATCGGTATTAGGCCAATGTTTGCAGGCTTTCATTTATTGCCCGTGTTTATGTTTAGTGAAATCATTTTACCTGAATTTCTGATTGCGCTCGAACATGAGCATGACATGACCCTTGGCTGCTCTGCACCTGAACCTTCCACAAACCAGCTGGTACCATATCTGCGAAAACAGGCATTCGCTGGGCAAAGTGCCATTACTCTGAATATAGGAACTCACTCGTGTTATTGCCTGGGGTCAGGCCCTGTCCATAGCGCTGTTTCTGGCAGACGGGGAAGTTCAGCTGGTCGCAATCGGTAGGAACCCAATATCCATCTTTGTCAGAGATAACACAGTTAAATGAGGGGTTATTGGGATCGACTCCTGGAGCCCAATTGGTATAGTCACCCTACAATGTATTAAAATGGCTAATAAATAACTGCTCATCGAGGTTTGTAAAACTTTAAGGTTAAACTGACGAGTTTCTGATAGCTGTTACCGGTTGGCACGTCCCAAACCCAGTCGTTGTTGTTTCTGATTAGGCCAATCCATGCAGCGGCACTGTTTGTTTGGGCTGAAAGCATTGAAGCTCAGAGGCAGAGGTTGTGCTTGGGTTCTGGGTGGGCGATATGAGATGGCTAAGGCGACTACCCACTGAGGGAGGGCCAGCGCCGGCGTTGAAACAACCTTGAGAATTGGTCGCTTGATATTTCACTCAAATCAACGTCACTCAATCTCTAGCATGACTTCAGAATTCGATTTAAAAACCGGTTCAGCACTGTTCCAGTCGAATACGTGACAAATTAATTTTTATGGTCATTTAATTAGAAAATTTAAGCCGGTGTACCTTTAATATAGTCATCTTTGGCTTGGTTGTGTACATCGGCCATGTAACCTCCAAGGCTGTGACAGAACTGATTCGCCTTCAGCCACGTTAACTGAAAAACTCATCGCTTCAAGAAAGGAGTACACAGTTAGCCGACTACAGCCGCTTCTCCATGTTCTCACCTTCTCCAGTGGGAATCTGAGGCAGTACTGGTCCTTGTAGTTCCATTGATAACCGTCGCAAGCTAAACTCATAAACAGTGATGACGTGAGGAAGTGGAAAGGATAACTGAGTAATTTGAACCTTGAACGAACTGCTGGATATTGAGTTCGGGATCATCAATCAGTGGAACTGAGAGGATGTTGTTCAAACCAGGTGTACCATCTGGTAGAGTAACAACAACGCTTGTGAGATTACGTCCACTTACAGCTAAATAATTCAATTAATTAATAACATTTTAAAATACTGCTATCTCTGAGCTTTATTTGGACTTCTTGTCGTTTTGTGTACTTTTCGAAGCTCTATGCTCTTCACTTTTATTGGTGAGCTTTCGGCATATAAATTGAAGGATCTCCTAACATCATCCCGAATCTACGAGAGACGGTGCCGCGAACGGTCTTGTCGATACTGCACTTCAGAGAAGATTTGTAAACTCCAGGGCACTGTTTATTTGATTCAATGTGGAGGATGTGGAGAAAAGTACGTGGGGGAGACCGCGAGACCACTGAAGATTCGTCTGGATGAACATAGAAGAGCGTTGGCCAATCCCGCTGCCTATCCACACAGCAGTTCTTCCAGGCACCGTACACTTAGGCATGAGAAAGAAAACGCTCCATCCTTTGATGTGAGGGTTTTGCACAGATATTTGGTACGGCCACTGGAAAGGAAAATCATGGAGGCACGGGAAATATACCGCATCAAGCCGGAAATCAATGCGAAAGAGGAGTTGCATGACCTACTGAGACTGATTACGTGATAACACATAGTCACCTCAGAACGAGAGCGGCGTCCATTTTCCCTTCAAGATCCCCGCCGACAGGTCCATTCCCCCTTTCCCCCAATATTTCCGGTTGACTTGGTATGATTCGATGTGTTTTGTATTGTAACTGATAGTAACTGATTGTATGCAGCAATATATTGTAAGTAATTAAGGTCTGACGAAGGCATTATATGCCGAAAGCTCACCAACAAAAGTAATTGATAACAATAAAATTCTAGAACCGGAAAATCATGGCAATGAAATTTAGTTTGATGTAGTTCGAAGTATAAAGCATGGCACATAAATGAGAGGTGGTCGCGTTTAGTGACCACCTGCAGTCCGCCAACCATTAGAGATCTTCTTGTTAACAAAGATGATCGAGTTTGGGGCAAATGTGTTGCTTAGTTCACTGTCAAATCAGGAGACAGGATTTGTAAATACATACAATACCCCGAAAAGAAATCACTCAAAAAAGAAAAAAATCGAAAGAAATCGCATTCCTCATTTTTCTGTTACGAGTCACCTTACAATATAGTTCTTTGAACTCAGCTCAACGAGATCTACGAGACTGACGTATACTTTGAGAACGACTACAATGAGCATTTTGCAGGAATCTTGTGGTAGATTTGATTACAAGTTGGAGATCCCTCCATTGTGCGACCCTCAATGTCTGCAGGCAACATACTCTGTTCAGTTGGCATACTTTTGTTTCTTTTCCTAGCCAACTTGCAGGACTGCATTGGATACAGTTCGATTCACCATGAAAAAAAATTGACCAATATTACATACATGGATCGATGCCCACCTAGGCCAACCAAGCCTTCCATCCCTCCGGGGTCGGTGGATTGATACCAGACTTGTCTGGGAGGTTAAAAGCACTGACTTGTTCATTGGCTGGCCACCGCAAGTCATTGTATAGGCCACATACGCACTCATCACGCCACTACGAATCTGAATGGAAGTCGAATGCGTGGGCGCAGCTCTCAGACAGGATTGATAAACGGCAAAAATTTTACCCTTTATTTTATTGAAAGGACTCCAAGGGATACATGAGTCACCTTCACGCCATGCATAGCAACCGTGAAATCTTCACAAGATTTACGAGATTTGGTGCTCTTAATTTTATATGGGTCAATATGCTACTATTAGAAAACGAATCTTTTATTAATTCCTGAGGAGCATGCCAACTGAAAAGCCAAAACTCGTTGTCACAAAATACTAGTATAGGTGCTGCCCAGCAGATCAATCAGGAGCAGCCCGGAAATCGGGAAATATGTGATCAACAAATCAGAACCCTTGAAGATAGACCATAAAAGCAAGTGTTTCTAACGACTACTAGAATAAGCTAAAATCCAATTTGCATCTTTCCTCGAAGGTTATAAGCCACGGGGTGATGATGTTTTCAACGCCATCGAAAGTTTTTGGAAAAGTATTTTCCACAAGGCATTGAAATTTCCTGAGCTTAAAGGGTTCAGGCACCATGGGCGTAGCATTTGCTTAAAAAAAACTGAAAAGTTGGAGAAGAAAGTCTTCTACTGAATGAAGACACGCAAACTCTGAAGCGAATATCAAGAAAAATGGGCAGTTTCAGAAAGTGTACAAAATTTGGTTCAGAACTCTGTTATGCCCTCTAATGTAACTTCAATTACAATAATAAGTAAAATTTAACAAAGTAGATTGAGAACCAAGCTATCAAAAATATGGAAAAGACACAGCAAGGATCTAACTTAAAAGAAGGAAAAGTGAGATTGAGGAGATTTGAAGAGTTAAAATCCCCCTCTCCTCTCCCCACTTCCTGCCAAGGGAACAAAATGGGCGAGTCCGTGGGGGTGGGGAAAGGGGAGGACGGGAAGAGTGCATACTAGAAACGTCTTGGGTCACAGCAAAATGGACCAGTCAATCTCAGCAACATGGGTAACCAAGTAAGATGTTTTTCGGAATTCATAAGCCCTTTATATTCACCTTGTATGAAGTACAAATACCCTTTCCCGTCTAGGTACACATCTGTCTAATGTGGTCTCCCTCATGAGATCATACGGAAACCCCTTGATTTTACATTTTAAATATGCTTTAACGATTACAAACAAAGTAGTGGTTGGAATTATGAGTTTAATTAGCTATTCAGAGAGGACAAGCTGGGCGATGGATCAAAAGATTAGCAAGAGAAAAAGGTCAGTTGGAAAAGGCAGCTGAGAGTGACAAGTTTCGAAGGGGAATAGAAATGCACAAAAAAACCCTGAGATGGAGAGGATGGAGCAGAAAATTGCAAATATACGCTTTTTCCGACATGACTCTCTTTAGGGAATTGACGTTTCCAAGAGCAAAAGGGGACGATGGGGTGCGTTTCATGTGTCGGAATGAAGTAGGAAGGTAGAGAGTCTTAGCAAAGAAGGACGACACACTCAATATGTTAACTGATGTTCTCAGTTCTTTAGCAGCTAATTGAAGGGATCAGAGGTCTGTGTTAAAAGGTGAGGTCCTCGCCGAAAGTAGCATTGAATTCACAAGGGGAACGCGATTTTGCATTTTTGTTTTTATTATAATTCAATTCAAAGAATGATATTTCAAAATTGAGTCCATTATTACACACAGCTCTTCAAGCTCTACAAGACAGGACTTTGCTTTCTGCAAAGGCTTCACTTTAGAGAAGCTCCATTTCGAGGCCTTTTCAGAAGGTCACCTCGCTTTAGCCTAAAAAGACAGGCACAAAATTAATGGACGATGCCAGACTTACGGTAGGCTCCGCAGAAATGTTGCTGAACACTTCATCATGGGTTAGTCTATTCTCCGTGGTGGGGCGTAAAACAACAGTAGGCGGCATATCCTTTTGAAATGCGATCCTTTCAATTCTAACCAAACCAAATCAAACTGTTGCTATGTATGGCGTTAACTCAACGGAATAAATGCTAGTGAATGACATATAGATGGTTTACTTCAAAACTTTTTTACTTTTTTTTATAACATAAATTCAAGCCTCCCATGGCATGAGCACATCGTTTCGTCTACGCGCGAATTACGAAATAACCCGCCAGGTTGGCAATCGCTGGCTACCAACAGGAAACAGATAGGATAGCCAATCGATCTGGCATCTTGCCAAGCAATTGGCCCCTTCTCCTTTCTTTCCCTCCCGTACAGAGCACCAATCGCGGAATTGTCTTCGCCTCATCAGAATTGAGAGATCGGCCACTGAAGTCCAAAGCTGAAATTCTCACGAAAACGGGGCTCCTATCGAGTACTTAACCATGCATCATTTATTTCAATAGCATTCTTAAAAGAACCATGTTCTCCGCAACTGTTTCGCTTAGTAAACAAAGAAAAGGTAGTCATTCAACCTGGGTACGTTAAACACGAGGAAACTACTTTGTAACCATGTCGGCCACGAAATTCATGCAGAGCACCGACTGTGGCCTTACTCAGGACAAATGCTACTCCATGGCTTATAAATCACCCTCCCATGGGAACGTGTTTTTCCTTTTCTGTTCTCACCCTTGTGCTCTTCGGCTATGAAATAGACCACAGCAACGGCTGCACCGGGAGTGGTGCGGCAACACCAGTCTNGCACATTGCCAGGTAATTGGCTCCTCCCTTTTCTCTTCGTGCGCCGATCAGGCGAATTGCATGATTCCGTCCAAGGCTTCAGAGCTAGACCGTTGAAGAACAAGGAGCTGCAAGGAAAACAAAGTAAATTCCTCTTCAAAGGAGGTCGATACATGGTTCAATAGAGCCTGTTCCGTGGAGATGATGACTGTACATTGATAAAGATTTCACCAACTGAAAACCAAGCTGCAGAGTTGCAAGGTATACTGCTTAGTTCCCCATAAGAAAGATGGATTAGTCTCTGATGAGAACTTTGGTTTATTTCCGTTTGCGGCACAGTGCTTCAGTATCCGATCACTTAATTCTTGCACGGCAGACGCAACTCAGGCGATTGGCGAGCAGCACAGCAAGGGGTGTGGGCGGAGCCGACTGCTTGGCAAAATGCCAGTACTGCCTAACCGTGCTTCTTCCATTACGGGTGCTATTGACCGCCTTTGTGGTGGATTTTCCGTAAAGCGAATACAAAGTCTGCATATTGCCGTTGTGGGCTTGAGTACTGAACAGTGAGGAAAACGGAAATAAAACGTAGATCTGATCGAGGGATGATCTATATATCGGTGAATTGATTTGATGTGAACTATTTGAAAAAATGAAACGAGGGAATAATCAAAAATATCCCTCCCAGATGACGAGAGGACCTGTACTAAGCCTAAGCCTAGTCGTACTGAATTGCCGAACAAAAAAAAGCTGTGACACAGGCCATGCATCCGACCCTCGTTCAAAATTGGAAGGGCACCCGAACACTGACCGAACATTAAGCCCATGCTTCCCCTTCCCCCACCCCTCCCCCCTGATGAGAACTTTTCTTTCTTTCTGTTTTCTGCACAGCGCGTCAGTGGCTTACCTCTAAAATTCTTACACGGCATGCACAGCTTAGGCAATGGGCGAGCGGTACAGTAAGGGATGGGGGCGGAGCTGAGCGCTTGGCAAAATCTCAGTACTGTCCAACTGTGCTTCTTCCATTCCGAGCGCTGTTGGCCGCCAGGTGGTGGGCTATTTCGTAAATGCGTGATTATCTCACTGCTGTCGAGTCATTGACTACTGAACAGTGAGGAGCTTAGAGATGAAAACGGAAGTAAAACGTAAATCTGATCGAGGGACAAACAATTTGTTTGTCCCTCGATCTTCTAAATAAAGCTTTCTTCTCATTTCCACCCGCATGCTCTTCAATGGCCATGAAATATGCCGTCGAACAGCCGACCATAGGATCGGGAAGGTGAGAAAGCTATGGAGAGTGTGTCTGGCATTTTGCCAAGTATTGGGCTCCTGTGCTTTCTCGCCCTTCCATGCACTGATCACGTGAATTGCTCGCTGCAGACCAGCACCTGGGAGAACGGTTAGTAAAGGTTGCGGACGAAAAAAGAAAAGAAAAAACATTTTCATCAAGAGATGATCTATGTATAGCTGCATAGCATTTGGTCTAGGAAATGGGACAATATGCATTTTGCCGGGTAATTTGGTGTGTTAAGGAAATAAACGGTGGCTAATTCCCATACTCCGAATATTGAAATTTGGGCCACCCAGTAGACGAAATAGTTATTTGTAATTGACTTAGGTTCAGAATTCTTTCAGAGCCCTAACCGTTTTCCAAGATCACCTATCAACATCATCGCTATCTTCTAAAACTCAGTCGAAATACCCCATCAAACTTGAGAGTATGCCATCATAAATCGAGGGTTTCCCGGATGGAGCCTTTAGTTCACAAACTATTTAGAAGAGTTAAGTTCAATAGTACATTCACCTTCCGTAAAAAAGGCCTGAACTAAATTAAACAAAAAATCCGAATCTTCGATATCGTTTTTTTTGCTAAGTCTCAGTTAACCCTTTAACGACAATGGCTCTATGACTGGCGCATGGAACATTGGCACCTAATATTGGGACGTCATACTTTCTTGTTTCTTACCAATTCCTAAATTCAGTAAGCCAGTGAAAGTATTTTCTCCTGGGACAGTGCTACCCACCGGTGGGTGCCAGTCCCGCGCGATAGGAGGGGACGTCCCATGGGCGTGTCACGTCGAAATCCGCATTGTCGTCAAATGGCTAGAAGAATTTCCAAACTTGGATATATCGTTAGACTCCAATACTTAAGACTACAAAAACTTTATTACGAGAAGGCTTGATTTTGTGGCACACTCCAAGGTTCGGAAACTTATTTCGCCCCAGCCTGATAAGATAGCCATGGAAACGACAGCTGATCTCAGCTTATAGACAGGCTGTACGGGAATATTTTGCCCAACTCTCTCACAGGTAAGGGTATCTCTGTCGTGTGGGGCTTAATATCAGTACGCGGAATACCCTCAAGATTTGACCACCTTTCATTTCCTTACCGAACCAAACTGTGCGACTGCACGACTGCAAGATGTACTCTTTGATTACCTACAAGTAATGAGGTTAATTGACACATAGAACACTTCTCAATGAGAGTTTTGTTTTCATTACTTTCTCATCCTTTCGTTCTTCACTAGCCAATTTCCCAAAACCTATACCGCAGCAGCGATTTTCACGGTTGGCCACGTTATGGAGCAAGGAGAGGAGCCAGCAGCTTGGCAAAATGCCAAACGCCAGATCGGTTGGCTAACCGTGCTTCATCGATAGCCGTGCCGAGGGCGGCAAGGGTGATGGACTGTCTCGTAATCTGCGCGGATAAGTGTAATCAATCGAGGGTTTGGAAATCGACCACTGAAAAAAAAATGGAAGAAATATAAACTCCGTCAGTGGGTGGCCCATTCAGTAGCATTTGCTGCGATGTATCGAATAGCATTCAATTTAGTCGTAACATATGATTTGGTAAAGAAATATAAAGCTTTCGATACAGGATATACCAAGATATGCTACGTACTGATTTTTAGGGCCACATATCAGATGAAATGACAACTTATAGTTGAGTCAGCCTCGAAATCCTTACAGAGTGTTGACGTGCCCTATTTCATTCATCGATTCCGTCGCTATCTCATAGAAATTAGGCGAAATACGCCCAAAATAGAGGGTACCACTTGAAAACAAGCTACTCCTGAAAAGAGCTTTTCCGAATTCCAAGGTACTACGGAGTAAGCTTAGTAGGGAGGACATTCCTTCAACGTATATTCGATAAATCAGAGAGATGTCACGTTAAACGACTCAAACTATTCGTCTTATAGGCTCACCCAAAGTGAATGATTCAGTCGACGAATCGATTGGGACGTAGTAGGTAACTCCTTTTGAGCAGTCGTCGAAATAAACTCGAGAAGCCATACCAGATTTGTAGAATGACGAAATGAATGGAAGCATCTAGAACATCGTTGTCTTTTATTTTGTAAGTAGTAAAGTGTTTGAACGAGGAATTTGTGGAGCCGCATCGACGCTGTTGCTTACAGTCGCTTCGAGATCATATCGACCAACCGATGCGAAGCCCGTTGGTAGCAAAACTGAACCACTCTCACCGTTAGTACGGTTCAAAAAAGGCTAGTTAGTAAAGTAAAGAGCAAAACTTCTATACGGTTCACATGCCGTTCGAAACTATCAAAAACTGTAAGCAGTAGTACCTTGTCGACATGTGAGGTCATGTAGACAAAACCAGCAGTCATGGAAGCGAGACTTTGGAGGTAATCCGGGAACTGACCATTATTGGCTGGATCCGTGCAAATAGTATTACCCACACCAATCAAGTTCAGCTGTAAAATATAAGTTATTAGTAAACAGAGATCACATCATCTAATGCACAGCAGTAATACTATTTTTCCAACTTGTTAACTCACTGATATTTGGTATTCCGTGGCATGAGAGTATAATGTTATGAAGGAATCGGTGTCTGGCCCATCGGAGTCAGAGAAGAGATAAACCGATGAGCGAGGTTCTGAGTAATAGGTTGCCAAAAGTAGCCCAGATTCGATCGCCACGGAGCAGTTCTGAATGGTAAATAACTTCTTTTGCACGAAACGGCTCATCAATAAGTTTCGGTACAGTAGCTCCTGGAGTTGTATAGTTGCTGAGATTAGCGGCTACTGACTTGACATTCGCCACAAAATCATTCGGGTTTGTTCCAGTATATACCATGGAAGCTCCTAAAAAGAAGGTGTCACGGTGAGAAGTCATGACAGAGCTAGCTCATCAAGGATCTCACCGATACTATCCACAACAACCAGATTCCAAGCGACTATCCAGTTCGCTGACGAATCTTGCACGTCTCGGACAAAATCAGTAATGCCGGCAGCAATGGAGGATACGGCGGTCTGCATGGTTGGACGAGCCGAGAGAACGAACGACATCGACTGGCCGTCGAAAGAGATCTGTGGCTTTGTGTTGACGTCAGTACAAGCAACTGAAATTCCACTAATGAGAGTGGACGTGCACAGATTCCCCGTGATTGGTCTACAGGCACAGGAACTACTCACGGGTGCATCATGACCCACACGTGTTATGAAGTGACCTTACTTCATTACTAGGAGAAAATGATGAATTATTAAAACTTACATAATTCACAAAATGTTCCACCCGTGCCAGGGACACATGCGCAGTAAGGTCCGAGACTTGTACCTCCATTCTGACAAATAGCTTTCTCACAACTGTAACAAAAATCTAATAAATGATGATAACGCGATACTCTCCCAGGTCTCTGGATTAGAACTTACTGATCTCCCGCATAGTTAGGTGGACAGATACACGTTTGATTCTTGTTGGGATCCATGACCCCACCATTTTGACAAGCCGTCGGGGGCAATGGGGTTGTTTCAGCTGAAACAAATCTCATACATATGGCCTAATATGAGCATTGGAAACAAGTACAATTACTCACTTTCTGAACAGTATCCAGTAGTAGTTCGCTGGATGGTGTAACCGTTGTTATCGTCAGCATAGACCTTAACATAAAGGAACTTGTTCTTTATTATGTCTTGAATGGGGGAGTACACAGGAAACAGTACATTTAGATTATATCATCTGGTGAAAATTCATTTTTTCCGCTGACTAATAACCCAATTTAAGTAAAATTGGACTTATATTATGCTCAATTACTTAGATGGTTGCTACAATACTACTTTTCCGATCAACTTATTTTAATTCATATCATTCTGTTGGACAAGTCTAATTCTAATTTCTGCCACATCTTCAACGGTTCGAGCATTTCTGAATGCTTCAGCTACGTGTTCCTAGTGTAGAGTTAAACATGACGAACGGCCCGGCCGCGGAGCTGATTGTGAGCAGGAAGACGAATGGGGTGGAGAGCGTTCAAGAGATTACTGAGGGATCAGTAAAGGATGCAAAGAACATCCGGCTCCGTGGCCACCTTTTTGACAGTGTGGTCTTTCGTGTGATGTCACTGGCCTCGGCGACTTGTTCGCTACAAAGCAAGAACGAGCGTGCGCCATGCAATCAACGTCATTCCACATGAAGTGGAAAGGACGATGCTCGGAGACTCCCAACCACGCAATCATAGAGGCATCCCACTCAAATGTAGTATAGAACTTACCGTAGCATAGAATTGCTGATCTTTGAATTGACAGAAGTTTGCAGCTCCAAAGTAGAGATGGTAACCGCAACCACTACGGTATTTCCCTAAACAAATTCGTACTTGTAGAAGAGAATTGATGACCTTCTTGAAAGCTTCTAACGATTCCGAGTATGCGATCTTTAAGTTTGGAAGTTAATGTTCATCAGGAGGTCCTTACCATTTGAATAGAACATCGGTTCGCCCATTTTTTGTTCGTTATTCAAGTTAGTGGTAATAGTGAGCTCAGCGAACAGCCTGTATGGATCCTGAACAGCGTTCACGAGGCCGTTCAATTGGGCAACGATGTGCTTCGACTTTCCTGGAAGTGAAAGGTTTAAATTGTACATGAGTGTCAGACCTACGAACTTCATTGTCTAACTGTCGACGGTGTCGGCAAACGATATATGTAACTTTTTTGTTACATTTCTTCGCGAACGGTCGTCGGAGAAACTCTTTACTTACCAATATGTAAGTAAGGATAATTTGAGAGAAAGCTGATCAGTTTGCCGACAGCCATCCTCACGTAATCCTCCGAGAAAATGATCGTTGATTGTATACAACGAGAAATCCCAGAGCTCTTTTTTTAGTGAGGAGTCACCAAAACGTTAATTTTTTCGAAAGTATGAAAACTATTGAAACATGCTCATCAAGCTACACGAGATGAAGCAGTACACGCTCCATCTGTTCTACGTCCCTTAATATCATTTCACAACATACCCTAGCAAATTGAGCTTCTTCATTTCTGTGCCCAATTGAATAAGACGACTACAATGTATAGTGTTCCATTCCTCAGAACAAACGCTATTCGATGATTTATAGATCATCCTTCGATAAGAACCTCGTATTCTTTCCATTTTCAGCCCCGTGTTCTTCACTGGTCAATCTTCGAAGCTCTGCAGGGCTATGCGCGATTCACACAATCGACGCACAGCAAAAGGTGAAAAAGGGATGGGATAGGTGCTTGGCAAGTTGCCAAACGTATTGGCCCGGTGCAGTCACAGCCAGTGTGGTGGCCGATGTTAAACCCAGGAAAGAACACAATCCTGAAGATGGAAGCAAAGCAAAGATCTGTGGAACTTTGGGGAGGAGGGTACTCTGTCACCCGATGAATAGCGACTGTCCCTAGGAATCGAACAATGTACATCACAGCCTTGTAGTTTGGTTGAGTAAAGAATTAAAGAGGGCCATGACGTAAGGGTGTTTCCCGTACTAATATTCAGGGCTACAGAGCAAAGGAGGGATTCATTGTAACGAAGTTGACCATCAAATTCCGTACACAACTGAAAGCAGTGCGTGCTCGTCTATCAATTCCACTGCTGTCTTTTGAACTCGGACGAAGCGCCCCCTCATATAGAACGTACGCTCTGTACCCAAGTTTTCCAGAGCGAAACTCTTTCATATTTTTCAAATACCGCCTTATAGTACCTGATCAGCTATTTCAACTCTATGCATTTCCCAAGAAACAAATATATTTTTGAACCACCTTACATAAAAAAAGCAAAAAAAAAATGCATGATCGTTTCTTTGGATTTATGAATTCTTGCAGCAGGTTCTGTAGAGGATGCTTACTGTAGTCGTTTCAACGACGGTTAGAATAAGCCATGGGTTCTACTTAACAAGTGTATGGAAGCATACATACCAATGACGGGTTCACTATCGCTTGCATCCTCATCAATGGCATTAGCAGTACCTAAGAAGAGATCATAGTCGGACATGGCCATTACGCGATATGAGCACGGTTGTTGCACCTGGAATTTTCAGAATAAAGATGGAGGCCACTAATGGTGCAACAATTCACTAGTCCCTGTACATTTTGACTGCTCAAGGAGAGAAGATACTCTCCAGGAACCACGTTCGTGATCTCCCAGAAGTATGATGTGCCCATTGTGTAGACGAGCAAAGCAGAATTCTGATTCCAGTTTGGATCAGTGACCGAGAGCACGAGATCTTCTGGAAGAGATATTCGATTCAAATATGTAACTAGAAATACTTGACAGGTGCATGAGTGAGGCTTACGTCCAACTCCAACGATGATAATCGTTTCTGTAGAAGTATCGGCAAAGAAGACTCGGTAGCCCTTAGTATCACATTGGCCTAGATCGTCCGTTAACACGGCATTCATTCGATAAGCTGTCGATTTCATTGTGAATTGGAAGATCTGAAGTAATTATTGATCAGGACATTACCAAAAGAATACAGCTAAAATATCGCTCTATAGACATTAGCCCCATTCGAACTCATAAACACCCCATTGAAAGTTTCCAACATTGCTGAAAAACTCAATTTCAGATTGTTCGTGTGGCTATAGCCGCCATTGGCTTGTTTCTATGCACATTACAGTCCCAGGGTTGGACGGTTGTTCTGGACGCAACTCAAAATCGGTTACTCAGTAAGAGTAGACGATATATAGGCACCAAAAACATTTTAAAAAATGAGGATGACGCCTGTCAACTACTTGTATTGGACCAAAGCACAAGAAAAAGGAGTGATTTTCACAACGAAGTGGCAAAGAGTAACCTTCTCAAGAGATGTCAACGTTGGAGTTTGAACAAGACCACCACTAAATTCAGAAGCACGGCGTAGAGCTCGATAACCTTCCGAGAACTGATTCACAGTACAATTATCATTCGGCAGGATGTTCATGAAGATCTGAATTGAAACTCTAAATTTAAAAAAGGAAGATAGGAATTCAGTGATTTCCCCACCGGAAGCTTTCTCCTAGTGTTAGACTCAGCCACTTTTCGCCATCCATCAGAATCAGAAGCAATAACGTCCGTGAAGACGTAAATAGCTGATTTTGGATTGACTGGCTAAAATTACTGTTCTTTTTGATCTATATTCAAGAAAGCTATCGACAATCTGGTAATAGCTGTTATACGTAGCTCAAAGCAGCACTACTTTACGAGAATTTAGAACGCGGTATTATAATACTTTTACGCGTGCACAGCTGCGGAAAGTATAGATATCGATCGATAACCGCGAGCGAAGCTCCTAATAGAGCCAAGTACTGCCCGATTTTTCTATGGAAATGTCATCAGCGGTAAAAATTTTCACAGTTTTATATTCGAAACGACCGCACCTCTATAAAGACACTAGCGATCGGGTCAAACGTCGCTTCATCACAACCGCCGATGGTTGTGGTATAGATGGCAGACATGATATCGTTGAGGAATGTTTGGAACAGGTTCTCCGGGTAGTACATCGTGTCATACTCTAAATTTTGTACTCAGCCACCAGGTAATATATCAGCTTGTACACAATTTAGCTCAACAAAAGTTCAAAACGCCCATGAAAGCTTTACAACTTACTTCCATTGGCAAATGTCACTAGCACGTAGTTATTGTAGACATTATAATCATAGGCAGCATTGCTTTCTACCTGAAAATCCATTTTGCTTTGTCGATTCAACCGCATGTAAACAGTATCCGATGTGGGTGCGCTTCGTTGCGCGCGTCCGTCAAAACTAGGTCACGTCGCAGCCGTCGCGTGCAGCAGGTCAGCTCGCGATACTTGACGGACGTCGCAGTTGTCAGTAGTGCATACGATTTGCGCTTGGTCCAAGGCGATCAGCTCAAAGAGAAAATAACACGGACAAATGCAAATCATTCGTTCCACTGACACTTGGTGGTGCTGTAATGTTATGTCGAGACCTCAGTGGGGTGCGCCGCGCGCGAAGTGGGCGGGGTGACCTACTTTTGACAGACGCGCACAACGGACGTTCTCCATCCGACGTACCTCAGCAGTGATAGCATTCACAATTTGCGAGACATATTTACTCATTGATGTCGTAGTTCTGAGCACTACGATAAGGGTCTTGAGATCAGTGAGATATGGGCCCTCATTGAATGCACAACTCACTGAAAGTAAAGGCATTAAATATAAATTCACTGAAAGGGCTAAGGTCATTTCAAATGCTCACAACATTGAGGTGGACCACCCAACTTGACTAACTATAACAGTGCCGCAGAAGATATGAACTACCTACTTTATACTAACACTTCATTATTAATCATTCTCGTGACCATTTCTACTCTTTCATTATCCGAATGGCCTTACTACTCACTAACCAGTTTCACAGATGGTGCCCTGAAAGCCAGGAGGGCACTGACATTGTAGATTTCCTGGCAGCGGTGTTCCACCATTCATACAGTTCACCTTAATCACATACAATGGCAAGTGAAACGAGAGCTGATGTCATTTGAATGACTCACCATTGTACATTCTCTTCCTTGAAATGATTCTGGGCAGAAGCATGTCGCGTTCACAGTACCCTGATAGAGTGGGCTTCCACCGTTCGCACAGTTCACGGTGTTCGGTGGTGCCGTCGGTACAATAGGTGTGGTCGGTAGTGGTTCTAAAAAAAGGTTGCAGTTGTTTTTAAGTACCTTGTCAAAAATCACGTGGTCAAACAGAATCAAATATGTAGGTAACAAGTCGTTCGAGGAATAAAATTGAAATTCGCAACCCTGGTTCGCTCTATTCTGGTCCTCAACTCTAGCAGTCAAGTGAGGAGAGTGAAGGAACATGTACTAACTGAAAAGTCCACACTCTTACCAGCTATCACCATCATGAGAGTTCCTAGTTAATACATGCTGTATACAGACATTGAAGTTGAAACATTAACATTCCAAAACGTCTATTCCGAATGGCTGGAGGCTTCGGGAACGGTCGTCGGGGTTTTTTTTCAATCAACAGAGGGAAAATAAGAAAGAACAAAACTACAACTAATGTCACTTCCCTGTTCTGCCTCCACTAAGGAGAAGGTAAGAATGTTTGACAAAGGTTGTACGATTTTTGCCTATTTCAGTTACAATATGCCTCAAAATAGCATAGAATGAAATCAAGGAAACAATAAATGCAAAAATATTTCTGAAGGAATTATTTCGATGGCCACTTGTCTCGAACGACCTTACGAATTGCGATCGAAATGAATACAAATTCGCAAAATATTGTCTTTCTTATCCTTCAAAAACATTATTCCATTTCTTTTTTTATGACTTCCGGGCCAGGTGGGCTTTGCATCTCAGCGGATGGCAAGGCCCAAATTTAATGAAAGAAGGGGTGGGGGAGGCAGGAAGTCCTTATTCTTGCTACTGTGAGCGGAATACAGAAAATGGCTCTTCGATGATCTTAAACGGTAGGCACTCCGCTACGTGAACTGACAAACGGCTCCGATCTCATTGTCAGTACTCTTTCCTACCTTTACAACTAGAAAGGTCTAAAAGGTTGGTAGTCATCATAAGTCTTAGAGGGCACCTTGCTTCTTCTGTTTTAGAGATACTACTATTCCTCGCTTACACCTCTAATTTTCAAGAAAATATTTCAAACTACAATGGATCGGTCTGAGTAGGCAAAGGCAACTCACGTAGACACGAAAACGTCCCAGATCTTCTGTAGGCGTATCCGAACGCATCTAGACCATCAACCTGAACGTGAAGATTACACTAATTGTAACATCACGATTAAAGCATTATCCGCACTAAAAGAAGGAACATACACGTTTCGTTTTCTTAAATCCCAAGGAGATAAAAAGTGCAGCTGACAACTCTCCAACTTTGCCAGTGAGAGTGATGATCGCTCTCGTTATCACACATTTAAAACCGGATACGGTTATGGGTTATCAACCGCCCTATCGATTACTGTACATCGGCCTACGGTGAGTTGCTGATTATCAGGACATTATTTTTTATAGACTAATTTTTGGTCCCTAGCGCTGAATCAGCGGTGACGTGATGAGAAAAATTCCGTTTGCAAGGAAGCTTCGTAAGTAGTAAGATTGCCAATGGTGAATACGCTGTTTCTAGACACAAACCGGACCTAAGTGCATACCGATCAATCGATTTCTATAATTAAGCTTGCCATTGATCAAGTGTGCATTGAGCATTCATTCTACTACCCATAGAGCGGACTATAAACAGAACAGCCGAAGGATTTTTGAACAGAAGAAAATAAAATACTCATACTTACATGATAAACATATCGATTCCTACGGTCGCAGATGAATTGCCCGGCGTAGTACTCATATGCACAAGAGAAACGTTTTGTCAATAGTGATCGATACACGGGCACAGTAGAGGTGTCCGTACGAATGGTTACCGATCGAACCTCTGCAAAACTGAAGCCATGAATTTCTCAGGTAACTATAGAAAGAATACTGTTTTCCATTAAAAGTCATTTCAGATACGATACTTCTTCTACCGCATAACGAAGGTCAGACCGTTACAGTTGATTGATCTAATAGATCAAAGTATTATTCAATGATTAAAGTGGGGCTTGACTAGGCGTTTTTTTTCAAAGAGGGTGGGCTAAATTGAGGGGGCGAAGTGATCTGGAGAGACCACAGGCGGCTAAACCGGACGTTTGGCGCTTGTGAGCGATTCCTCACCTGGTGACACCTGTTGTCATTCTTTATGGAATGTTGGAAGATAACTTAGTATAAGCAGCAATTCACGCTTATGTGGAATGGTTAAGATGGTGACGATTAGTTCAAGTGATGAGCGACAGAAAGACCGTAATTCATACATGTAAGTAGTAAACGGGATCGAATCTAGTAACGTAGTCATTCAACCATTTCAATTTCGAAGCCGAAAAAAGTGTTACCTCCTGGCATGGTGAGATTATTAACATGACTGACAAAGTACATGGGTTGACCCTCGATGGCAGATTCCGCGAAAGGTGCGACATCGGTTTGTGGGGAAAGAGTGAACCTTTGGACAACTGACAGACCGGTGTAAGACTGAAATTGTTTAGAACTAATAACTCTGAATTACTTTCTACAGAAAAGCTTCATGTGCTGTACTACTGATATTTCCGGCAATCAGTAAAATCGTTCCCGTTCATCGGAGGAAACCACTCTTCGTGCAAGAGTGAACAGAGCTCTCAGATAAGTTAAAGGGGATACTAGTTCAAGACTCCCGACCCTCCGACGTCCATAATTAATACAAGAACTGTGTTCGAGAAGGCAGGAACGCCCGCTTGTCAAACATCACTATTTATTCCTCAGAGCCAAAACCAACAAGGTTTGCGATTTACACTACAAGCAAAATGCGCGGCGTGAACCGGCAAGGAACCTTCTGTCTTTAAACGTGCTATCTTTGGTCGACTCCGTGGAAACTTTTCTCAAGAACAATTTCTGGCATGAGTAGAATCTTCGCAAAACTTACGGTGATCTCAACAAAACAGTTCGATGTTGGCACACCCCCGTTGTCCACCGTCAGTTGGTATGGTCCTGGAACGAGGCCAATGTAACGGCAAAGGGTGTAGCCGTCATTGACACTGCCATCGCACGTCATTATATTCCCTGGAAAACAAGCGTAAAGTACGAAAACGCATTTTTCGGAAGGAGTTTGAGCCAGGTTTTATTGATCGATTGACAGCTGGTTTTATCGATTTTTTACTGTTTGGTTGACTCTGCATTGACATCGTCAAAAAGGATCATACCATTCAAATCAGTGAGATTCACATATGGTCTACCAGCAGCGTTCACCTCAATGGTCAGCACTGGAGTCATCCCGTCGATCGGAACATAGTACCTGGAACAAGGGGGAATTGAAGAGGTTGTGAAGGAAAGCTGGGAAAACGATAGGAGCAGAAGCAGAGAGCCCTTACTTTCCTGTGCATCCAGATGGGAGATTCAGGAGATCAACAAGTTGGTAGTTGACTGAACTTTGAGGAAGAGTGCCAGCACTGCTGCAGACAGCTAAATGAAAGAATACAAGCAGGGACAGCTGAGAGTACTTCTTATATAGCGATGGAAAAGGGATGGATGTCAGTGAAATGGTAACACACAAACTTGGGAAATTCATATTTATATGGACCTCGAAAAATTTGGTCATTATACAGCCGGTAGCTGACAGAACTGGTGCTGTAATAGCTGAGTTCGATGGATTTGTAGAGTCAAGTATCAAAAATCTATACAGTATACAAAAGGGGACATATCTGTTTATGATGAATATAACGGGCGAAAACAACAGTTTTCAACAAACTAGCACATCTTTTCTGATTCACGAAAATACTCACGATTTTCGCAGTATTGACCAGTCCAGCCCGGTTCACATTGGCCTGTGAAACCGAGAGTAGCATAGATCGCTCGCTTCACCCGTTTATGAAAGGGCTCGCTAAGGGATCCATAGAAATTTGGTAGCTCTTCATATGCTGGCCTGGACAGAAACTTTGAAAGTCCTGAAATAGAGTTGCATTTAGAACTGGTAGCTAAAGAAAAAGTTCATTGGGATGTATCAGTCTGAACTAGGTGGATACTATGCCCCAATATGCCTACGAAAGCACTGCGCGTTGAAAATTTGTGCTTCACAAAAAGAAAGAATACTGGCTACAGTACCTTCACTCCAGTCATTGCCCTGAACTGCAATGATACTCAAAAATAACTGAAGTAACAGCAGCGACCGCATAGCAACAGGGCTGGCAAGCAGTGCTGCAACCGTTTACGACCTGATAACGCCCAACAATATCTACGATTTGAGGGTAATAAACCCAGGATGGTATTAAATGTAAAGGCCGATAAGCTGCAACCTGTCAAACGACATCACGCATCACACAACAGTTAGTATGAGTCATTAGTAGTCATTAATGAGACTTTCATGAGTAGGAGAAAACTCTGGTCAAACCTTGGCAGGGGAGGGGAGGGGGGGGGGCTAGCTTACTATGAGACAAAGTCACAAGAAAAGAAACCGATGGTACATTCGTCATTAAATTCCCCTCCTAAATAAAAACACCTCCCCCAGCACGGTAGTAGCAGCTATGAAGACGAAATCCTCCGGCAGACCTTTTTTTATAACTTTGAATAGCTTCCAGGCCTTTTTCTTGTGCAGGCGCCCTCCCATAGAGAGGCCTTCAGAAATTGGGCCTTTTCCGAGCAGCAATGTTCTTAAATTGAAAATTACATCTCTACTGCTAAAGTACAGCAATCAGTTTTCCGAAATGACTAATCAGATACCTCTCGGAATCTCGTTTGAGATGTCTTTCCGATACTAACTTGGATAACGCGCCCCGTTGACCCAATTTGGACGCCAAGGACAGTGGCCACCAACATAAACGTGGTTCGCTCTCGCCTGTACCTTTCGTTTTTGACTGCTCTGTTCTATACTCACCATTCTTCCAGTATCCGTGGTTTCTAATATCGTACTCAGAAGACACCATCCTCTTGAGCCTTCATTACTTTGATCTAATGATTGCTATCAATGTTGGCACCGTTTCAAACACCCTGACTGAATATTTCAGAAATGGAGAAGACGGCACGACTACAGGTGCCGTTTGTTGCAGCAGCTATATCGCTATGCTGCATTATGACCGTAGCTGTGGTACTCCCAGTGCTCCACATCCAACTCGAAAGGGCACAGTCACGTCTTCAAGCTCGGATGGATGCTTTCAAGGTAAACTATTTGGCTCGACCGACAACTACATAGTATACTACTGGGAGATAATCTCATGTTCCACTGATTTCCCGATCATTCATAATGAAACCTGTGACTTTCAAAGAGAGTTAAACAGAGAAATCTATAGCTGTAATAACTGGTAATACATACGCTTTGGTTGGTTGAAGAGTTTGATCCACCTATCACAGTCATTCTGCGCCTACTCGGTAATATTTAACAGAGTATCCGCTGAAGTCAATGTTCTCTCGATGCCATAAACCTGGAATAAAGTGGACATAAAGTGCCATGAAATTCCAATGGAAACTTTCATAAGAATTGCTGTTATTAAAGATGATAGGCTAAATTTAACCGTTTCAGTACACTGCTCGTAACATATGGCAAGACATCGTTCTTGTGAAGAGTCACGGTCGTATCCGTCGTCAGGGATACGGCAACTATGAAGCAAGCAGTGATAGTCAACAGTGTACGTCGTGTATACAATTGCAATGTCCACCGGGACCACCTGGACCCCCTGGCGTGAATGGAGAGCCTGGCATGGATGGTGCACCAGGACGTCCAGGTAATGTGTCAGAACTGACTTCAACTCGCTCTTGTTCCCCACTTTCGAACGAAAACTGTATTATTTTAAGGAAAGCCTGGACTTGATGGCTTGGATGTACCTCTTGATCCGGAACCGAGCTTCCCTTGTGTGATATGCCCAGCGGGACCACCAGGAAATCGTGGACCTCAAGGTGAAACTGGCCGTCCAGGATTACCAGGGGAGCCCGGTCACCCAGGTCTACCAGGGCGTCCTGGAAAACCCGGTAGAGTAGGTGACGCAGGACCCCAAGGTGACCCTGGAGAGGAAGGTGAACCTGGAATCAAAGGTCCACCTGGTGACGACGCTATCGGAGGCACAGGAATCAAGGGCCCACCAGGTCCACCTGGTCCACGTGGGCCAAAGGGACCGCCGGGAACGAACGGCATGCCATCGCAGAATCCTGGACCAGCTGGTCCAATTGGAGAGATGGGACCACCTGGTCCTCCTGGTCCACGTGGAGAACCTGGACCTCCAGGACCGTTCGGCCCACCTGGTGACTCGGGAGAGCCAGGAGGGCACTGTCCTTCGTCGTGTGGGGTGAGTTAAAAGAAGTTCTATCACCTTAGTGAAAACTGTCGTTCATCTATACATGTGACCGTTTCAGATACAAGAGATTGTTGCACCATCAGTTACTGACCTCGATACTGGAGAGTACCCTCAACAGAACTATCCGCGTGGTCCTGACAGAGGGCGCTATGGTGGCGGTGGCGGATATGGAAAGAAGTAGAAGCACGGCAGCACTTATACGCTCCCGAGCCCTTGTTACTCAGATTCACAATAAATGATTCGAAGGTCTTCTCGTTCTGGAAGTTCATTGAATTCATGTTCGGACCAAACTAGTGGCCTGCGAAGCTTTTTAAAATCCTAATAATTGTCATCATTCTTAATAATCTCCGCGCCTTACGGATCATCGACAGACGAGATTGCAATTAGCCGATCACTTCGAAAAATAGAAAGAGGGTTAAAGATAGATAGGTAGCTCATATTGAACATCATCCACTGGCCTGCAAAGCTTTTCAAAATCTTATTGATCTGCTACCACTGTTAATAATCTCCTCATCAGTCCCTGATCGATAGAATTACTAGCGATGGCCGACGGCTGAGAGAGAGTTGATCCATGGATAAACCGCTCAGAGAACTCAACACCCCGTGCTACACCACAGGTTAAAAAGGATTTTTGCACAAGACTAAATGGAACAATGATTACCAGTAAACAGACTAAATGGAACAATGATTGCCAGTAATCAAACTAACGCTCTTACTATGATCAGCGGCTTCCTAGTCCTTTCCCAGCATCATGAACCACTTCAAAACGCAAGCCCCACTTACACGTCTCTCGAGGTGAAGGTGTTGTGACATCCTTCTTCTGGAATTTACAGCTCGTACTCACATCACCAAATACTATGTGCAATTCTATGTATCTGAGCCCTTCATGATGATATCAACAGCAATTCCTTGTAGAGATTGTTTTTAGCTTCACAGAAACGCAGACTTCGGAGGGTATCCGATGACATTTTTAAGCAATTCTGATACAAAATTATTGCATCTACTACTTATGTTTTCCATTGAGACCAGCCAGAAAAAGAGAGAAGCATAGATTCGAATTCCGACAATATTCTTATGGTCTTGGGTCTTCTGAGCCATAAACCCGTTGGCCAACTCCCTTAACCGAACAAACCGTTTATTTTTTTTTGCTTCCAAAAAGTTGATTCAGTGGTGACCCTTGTTCCAAGGAAACGAAAACCGGCTACTCGATTAGGAGGATGAATTTATCCGCACACCTAAGTAGTAGCACTTGAACTTGAACTTGAAGGTCAAATCAGCAAATTTGTTCTTCCTCTCATTCTCAAAACAATTTTTCCCTAACAAAACTAGCACGAGACAGCGAACTTTGCCAGTAAATAACTTTTACTTCTGAGAAATTCAACTCGATAAGAAGGCAGGTCACTGATCCAAATTAACTGGCATCAGCTCTTTTAGGGGTACAAATGGCATAACTGTCGCTTACCGAGAAACCCTTGTGTTCAAAAAATGGGGTATTTTATCGAACAGTTGTTTTTGTCCCTTTGGATACTTGTGAAGAGCTCGAAGTCTTAAGATTTTTGAGGTGAAGGCCAACAAAGCGCTTATTTCTTACTCAGCTCGACCTTACTACGGTGCCTGCCATAAAATCGAAACGGGTTTTCCATTAGTTATTGTTTGATCCGCCAACATTACTACTTGAGTCATTCAAACAATAAAAGTAAACTCGGATGAGGTCCATTAGCTTTCGAATCAAGTAAGAAAATCACAATAAAAATGCAAAACTATCAACTACGGCATCCGCAGGAAAATTGCGGGACCTACCAATAAGTGATCAATGCAAGCGATGAGAAAGCAGTACAACGATCTAGTTAACCACTGAATTCTGGAAAGTTCTTCGGCATCCGTACTCGATGCCAATATAACTATCTTCAGAGAACATCTACAGCAACAAGGAAAGAAGAGAATAATGGTAGAAAAACCACATCATCAGCAAAAGAACGGAAAACTGGCAATCAGCATAGCCAGGAATGAACAGTGGGTGGCCCGCACACGCCGGGAAATTTGACCTCCATCACAGATTGATCAGCCTGCATTTGGGTGAAGCCACTTCTATCCGATTGCTGAACAAAATCCATGGAAGCGGGTGACCAAATGAAGCACAGCTCCATTTTGGATCTCACGAAGATTCGGGATTCGTTCCACTCAGTCCATTCGAACTTTCCATTACTTTTTCGGTGCCGAGCAAGCTGTACATCGTTGATGATGTGATCTGCAATAAACAATAATCGATCGATCAACAATAATCGTCACAACAGGGAATCTGTGACCATATGCAAATATGTAGTTATTTACAATTCTTACTTCGATCTCGAGTCAGTGGCCAGAGCTCATACAAAAAAGCTACGGAATACAGTAATGACGGACACTTTCAAAAATCTCGACAATTTCATGGAATGACCTCAGACTGGACAACATGCGATAAATTGCCGGGCAGCAATGCAAAGGTTTTTATGTTTTTACGGAAATATAAAAACCCATGCAGAACCTGTTCTCAGCAATTCTTTCCCGACCTGGATGTCACTGAGGGTTTTTTTCAGGAAATGATGTAAATCTCCCGCTGGTTGACTAGCCCAATCGACGTCCCGGATGTTCGAGAAGCGATTTTGACATGTTTTTAAATGTAGTAATCTCTCGGCTACGGTTTAGCCAAAATATACAGCGGACTTTGATAGCACTGCAGGTTAAGCACTGCTGCATGAGTGAACAACGTTAAGAGTATACTCCGTCAACCTTTTCCTTCCTAAAACATTCCGAGCCCCTCCTCCGTGGAACGGAAATCGACATCATCGAAAATCGAAGCAGTTATATGCAAACTTTGATTACGTAGTACGATAGAGGAACGTGGTTTGTGGTGGTAGTTGGACTTTATACTAAATAGAACTTTTCCGGAACACCGGAAATCTTTGCGGAACCAACCAGACCTGCTTTTATTCATGAGCTTGGATTCTAACAGCGCTTTTACTAGTACTGAACGTTCTAATTTTTTCTCAGGCTTGTTCTCATAATTTTCTGAGCTCTTCGAATCGTCCCCTGAAACCATTCTGAGGGCGCATAGACTTCCTTTGCTAAATTTCCACCTTCCTCTGCTAAGTTTCCAGACTTGGAACGAAATAGATTCCGATCCTCAACTGTTTCCTGATTTCGTAGACAACTTTTTCCTCTCTACATTCTAAGAACTGTCAAGAACTGTTAGATAGTGTACCTCAAATTGAAAATTCCTTTAATCAAAATGTGTAATGGAACCTTAGTAAAAATCTAATGGTTAATTACTACCGAAATTGAAAAAAGTAGTAGTAAAGCACAATGTAGTTAGCGGGAGCCATTTTTGTTCACTCACATTAAGCACTAGTCCGCACACGAAGAGGGCTAGCCGATTTTGCAGGCCTAAAGTGGTTCCACAGGCGCATTTTAGCCAAGGGAATATGGGTTTTGTTCCAAACCTCGAAGGGAGAGAAGCACCGGGGTGGGTGGATAATTATATCGTGCGAAAAGTTCGGATTGGGGAAGAAATGAACATTCGTTGACCATTGAATCATTTCGATTCAAAAGTGTAAACAGCAGCATACTATACATACTATTTCTATCGGGAAGGCGCTAACCCCGTCGCTTCTCCCCTTTCAAAGCTCATCCAAAATACTGTGAAACTTTAGCTGAAAAAATGTTTCTAAGGTGTATTAAAGACCCGCGAAATCATGTACTCTCCTTCTCTGCGCTCTAGCATTTTGTTAGAGACGCAGGGTGCCCCTGACCACATTTTCACCCTACGAATCCACTCCTATGGAGAGCTTGAGCTTCCATTGCCCTATGATTTTCTACAGGATAGTTCCCAGTTCTCTACCGTTGCCTGGTTTTTTGGAACTTTTTGCCTCTTCGGGACCATTCACTGCCAGGACCATTCACTCCATTTAACCTGTACAATAAAATCTCCGTATGAAATTGATGACCATCCATTTACTAGAAAAATTGCAAAGAAGCGGTGTTGCACAATGGCAGCTGTTTTTCTGAACGACAAAGCGGCGCGTCGGAGCGACTTCGGTGGCGGCGACGGACGGTTTGCGATTTTATCCGAAAGTGGGCGTGTCGAATTTCTATTACCACTGAACACACCCACACCAACGTTGCTTCTTCGTTTGCCGTTCACCTGTCATCTTAAGTGATCCCTCTGATCTCTACAGTTGCCATTTGAGCGGTACTGGCACTGGGTTGTCACCGCAGTACCACTCACCAATGCTCGTCTACGCCACAGTGTTGTACTCTTTGATCTCGTCCAGCTCTGGACAACTCTTCAGTAAGTCGACCCGAGGGGTTGAATTCAGTGGTCATAGCTCTTGCGGTATTATTCAGGACCATGTGGCTGTGAGAAGACATTCGAGCCTGTCTGCGGTACTGACGGAGTTACTTACGATAACCTTTGCGTTTTACGCTGTAAATCATCAAATGGTGAGCATTCTCTCATTCTCCAACGTACTTTTGAGTTTGTTGCGATTCCATCTAAGTTCTTTGTTTAACTTGAAGAAACTGAAACCGCTGTAGTCTTCTTGTTCCCTTTCATTATATCCATTCGATTGGCTTTTCATCGTTTTTCAAGTTTCTCTCAGTTTTTTTTCGTCCTTCACGGCTACTTCATAAAATATGAATCGGCAACGGAGTAGCCAAAAAAATGAAATTCAGCCGCATTACTGTCTCTTGCGCAATAAATCGCTGTGTATGGATCTCTCTGGATCAATTCAGTCTTTAACATCTTTCAGAACACTTTCCACACTTTTCAAAATATAGCAATGTTCCCAAACTGCCACTTAGTTCTGTTGGAAACCATTACCAGATCTCATTTTATGTCTTCCACTCTAATTCCACCTTCCCTCGTTACCTGCCCGAAAAATCGATGGCTTTCGGGCTTACTTACTTACATTAAATTAAATATATCTGGTGATGATCACCGGTACCGAATTGACTACGCCTTTAGACTTCTATCAGTCAATGCGGAATTCAAGAAATGAACTTGAATTAGAATGCTCGCTGTTCATGCTTCAATACAAGTCAATGCATTAGACCAATTTATCGTTCTTCTTGATGTCCTTAGAATGTTAAGTAGTAAGCAAGCATGAAATTGCCGCCACAAAATATCAATGAACGGTGTGTGTATGGCGTATCCCTGTAATTATGCCTCATTTAACAAGACCCTGGTGGGGTTTTATGTCGCCACAACCTCAAACATCCTAGGCCTAAGGATAAGAAAAAATCAAACTTGGGTTGCTACTTTCACTGTTCATCAAAAAACGTCAAAGCCTTAGACCAGCAGTAGCTTGTAAGCATGAGGTATCAGGACATGTTACGGTGGTCGCGGCGCAAAAAACGAGCAGAAAACGAGAACAGCAGCTGATTCGATGAAGCTTTTTCAGTGTCATACATCCCCCAATCCACCCTTAAGCGTCTCATCAAATCCCGTTCCGCACCCCATTCCCCCTCCGCTCCGTTAATTGTTCTGAGCATAGCGTTCGATAAGGAAATGAATGATTCCGATGGATATGTACATCATTTTAGCATTGAAGAACACCTCATTGAACACGGCCCGGTCATGCATTTATCCTAATCTTCAAATTGAGAGCGATTCCTTGAACTGCTTTTTCGATGGTGGCCGCCACACGAAAGGATTTTTTGCCGGTTCTATAGTCAGCTTGGTTTTTATGAATTAGTTGAACATGATACCGGCCGATAAGCACTTTCTATGGACCATGAGCCGAGAATCGATCGATCTTCTGTGTAAATCAAATCTCAGTTTATGCAATTAGCCTTTTTATCACATCCACCCAGACAAATAGAGCGGTTCTGATCTAGCACTGGAAAAGAATATGGCTAATTTGATAGAACTATTGCGAGTTCCTCGACTATTTACTTCTTTGAATCGAGATCACTTGGTGCAGTAGAACTACTTCCTTTGGGACATTTTAGACAGCAAGTAAGTCCCCATGCAAGGATCTCAACAATGGCGCTTTTCCAACCTTCTCGAGCGATCCGCGGCCTTTCATTTCATCGTCATTGTATGATAGCACTTGGTTATTGTGGTTGAGCATTTCACAGCTTGGAAAGGTTTTCTCATCGATTCCTGCTTTCTTCTGTGGACAATACTTGATGGATCCGTCGCCTATTGACGGCCTATTCGATCCGTTGCTGACATGGGTGTTCACAAATCGATCTCATAATCTGGGACCAAAAAAAAANNNAAAAAAAAACTATCGAATCGCCTTTGAGACATTTTTTCGTGACAACATTTTTCAGATTTCTCTGTGCAGACAAGCGCAAGAAACGAAGTACTTACTTGTACTGCTAAAGGTCAAGGGCGTTACGCTTCACCCCTCTCCACTACTTCACCTTTACCAAGGACAACTGACGCACCCAATTTCTAGAACACTCACGTTTTCGCTACTCTTGAATCAACGGAAAGGAATGCTAATCTCCCTACCCAACCATATGTCGCTCGTTGTTTTAGGGCCAAAACACAACTAAGAGAAAACCCTATCTATGAAGAGATTATGGCAGAATGGAATTGGAACGATAATGGGTGGTAAAGGTGTTAAGGGCAAAGGTCAAAAAACGGTCCTCGGGATCTGAGAACGTAGTAAATCTCTAGCGAACTCGAAACGTTTGAAACTATGCATTGTTGCTAAATCTGGAGGTGTTCCACTTCTTAGAGCATTGGAGACAAAAGGAAAAGAATTGATTCTGAAATGTTGCAAATGTGGCCGTAACCATCCATTGAATGGACGACTAAGGTCACCATCAAGGTTTACAAAAAGAGGAAGGCGACTCGTAGCATTTACTGATGATCGCTGTCCAGTTTCGGAGACCAGGGATAGTTGGCCACCGAGGGCTCAACTGGGTTGCATCAACTTTCTGTAGAAACAGTTACTATCCCCGGAAAACCAAAATCGAGTCTCTCCGGCGTATTGCAACTCGCCGACAACATCAAGCTCGTCAAAATTCATAAACTTATAGCTCTAGGAAAAGTTCTGTGAGCAGGAGGAGATAGTATACTGTGAATAAGGGTGACGAGAGAATGATAGCCCACAAAATTGCTTGAGAAGCGGAACGATGTACTTTGAAGATTTCTAGGCCATTCGATTGAAAACATTCGATCACTACTTATCTCTACCACTCGATAGAAAAATCGACGTGGTGTATCAACAGACTAAAATCGTTTACAAAACAACATCTCTTTCGTAGCGAGTTTTCGTGTCGGCAAGAGTGATTTATAGAGTTAAAACCGACTTTAGCAATTGATAGCGAGCCTTTCACGGTCACTGTTTTCTAATCGGTAAACTGACTCTTTCCAAATCGAATGACCTCAACACTGCTTTCAACAATTACGTCAAGCTGAGGAAAAAATGGCGCAAGAATAAGAAAACCTTGAGGTCGTCATGATGGTCCTTCTTATTTTTGGACCCTTCAAAGGACTTCGAGGGATCCTTCGAAGGGTATTGAGGGCATTGGTCAAAAAGGAAAAAGACGAAAACAGCCCAATCATTTTCAGCGGATTTTGTTCATTTTTTTCATAAAAATGCAATTGAAAATTGTCGAAAGTTTCGATTGGACTGGAATGTTGAATATTCAAATTATCGAACAGAATTGAATGTTTGAACACACAAAACCGGAAATTTCCAGAGGAAAAAAATTTCAAAAGTGTTGTTTTTCTTGTTGCCTAGCTTGTTCGATCTGTCACGCCAAGTAGTCGGTGATAAAATGGTTTTGATAAAATGCTTTGTAAAGACGGCGAGAACAAGAGCGTTTGATCGTAAAGCGCTCTAACCTTTGCGCGATGGATGGACGGGTGGAAAGCGTTTCAGGCAAGCGATCACGGAAGGCAACTTTAGAGATCAGATCAATCAAAATAAAAAAACAGGCTTCGAATGAAAACTGAAAAAACAACCTCGAAAACACATAATGAGACTGGATTCATCTGGACTTGTCTTTAGCGTTGAGATTATGGAACTTTAAATACTCATAAGTTTAGCTTTTGTTGCAAAATCTCGAGCTTACTACTATTCAAAAAAACAGTTTCAGAGGCTGTCTTGTAGAATTTATGCAGTCATTTTTCGGAAGATTTTCATCGACGCAAGTTGTTCAGATGGCAAATTACAAAGTTTTTTTTGAATCCTACAAAATCGTTTTTATTTCACTAAAGTAATATCTATGGCCTGGTTTTATCGTTTTGTAGTGGTATATTACCAACTAATATAGAAAACTACGCCCTTCCTGCCTCTTCTGGCTCTCATCTTCAAAGTCTTCGTCTAATCATCCTACCTTCCTCACATTCTACTTTCATCAATACTTTTCACACAAAAAATACAGTTTTCTCACAGGAATCATATTCTGTATTGTCAGAGCTACAAAAACACAAGGAACTCTACACAGCAGGTTAGCCTTCGCCGGCAGTGATCATGGAAAATAATTCAATATCTTCTATTGTAGATGTTGTTAGAGCCATAGTCTCCATGTTTCAAACAACTCTCGTACTATAAGATCACTTTGATCATAAAATAAATGATAAAAATAAATAATCGAGAACAGGCCATGGACTACTCAACTAATATTTCGTTTCAGACACCAAACTCGCCTATAAGGGCCCGTGTTGTCCCAGAAATCTGTGTCCCACACATCGAAGCCCGATATGTGATAACTACGGTAAGATCGCAGTATAAAGGCTTTGATTCGAGTTTTCACATTGACATCTCTTTAGGCTACCTTTTCTTTAAGCTTGTGAAAGTACCCTGTCATACGATTTTTATTTATTTTTTGCTCATTTTTCTCAATATTCAAATAAAATTTCAAATGCTGACTAACAACTATGCTAAGTAGTAGATTTCTAAAAGTTTTTTCGGATCCGAGATATCAAATTAAAATTCCCTTTTCCAGGCCGAACATATGTCAATGAGTGCGTTTTCTTTCGGATGCAATGTCTGCTAAGAAAAACAAGCGGGCGTGTTTTATTGAAGGTAAAAGCCACATTTGATCACTTGGGTTTTTACTTTATTTAGTTTAGTTAAATGTTCAATTAAATCCGCTTTATTAATTTGAAACGTATTAGAGTCATGATGGAGAGTGTTTGGAAAAGGAGGTGCAGCAAGAAGACTGCGATGCTGGCTGCCTATTCAGCAACGACACGGCTGTATGTGATGAAAATGGAGTCACCTACGAAAATGAATGCATGTGAGCTCCTCAAACTTTACTTTTTTTTGAAGTGAGTCATAAATTAGTGATGTGCTTTACACAGGTAACAAGTGTTTTTTTATAAAAAAAAGATTTATCAAATTGCTTCAATATTAACACTCATCCTTTTAGTTTCTATTACTGACTGTTTTAGCATGCTCACTGTTTTCATCTCTATCTTCGTATTCGATTATTTCACCCAGTTCATTCCATTATTATTCTCTTCCGGAACAGTTTTCGTTTCTTGTCAGATCACTGTAAAACGTTTGCCAATTTTTCTGAAAATTTTCATCCTAATTCATTCCCATACATCCCAGCCCGAGAGAATTCCTAACACCTCAATATTGCCGTCCTATTCTTCTTATGCTGGATTGTGGTGGCACAAGTGCTATAAAAATCCAATTTCTTCAAGTTATGTAAAGTTCAGATTCGAGAACATGAATTGCAATCTGAGGAACAAAAGAAAACCAGAGGTTCTATTACGTCACTACGGGAAGTGCAACCAACCCAATGGGACGTCTACGATGGGCACTTCAAACGGTTCGTATTATATAACAAAAATTGAGTTAGGAATTGAAATTCAGATATACGAGATTACAGAAAATAAATTTGCTATTATGGCGTCTTTAAGTGAACATTACTGCGGATGTACCAGACATTGAAGGAAGTGGTATGGAGATGAAGAAGCAACCTAGCGTTGACAATACTCCGGCCTCAAGATTGGCCTCTAGAGGAGGTGCGTTGAAAGGAAACCGAACAAAAAAAGTTTCGTGCTCAGTTATACGACTATTCAGATGTAAGATCGGGTCCGCTGACTGAAAACCTTCCAAAACTGCCCGATTTGCAAGATGACGAACTGATAGTGCCACAAAATCAACTACAGAAGGCTATAAGAGCACGTGCTGTACCGTCGGTATTCCTCGATGATATCGACACAATTATAGCATCTGAACAAGCAGCTCTTGCCTTGAAAAAGGCTGAAATCACTAGTCCTTCCCAATTCAAAAATGCAGCCGTCGAAGCAAGTCGACCAATGGTCCAAACAATCGACGGACATGCTGCTCTACCAGCTAATCTACTTTTGCCAATGACGTCAGTTTCTACTACCTCACAGCTTCCCATTTCTATGATGCTCCAAATTTAGAAGATTTTTCTAGCATTATTTCCAATGGTACGCTACAATCGACAGAAGAACTACTTGCCGGTAAATCGATACCACCAACTCCAGCGCCGAGAACAGTTTCAGTTTCTGCCATCCTTCAGGTGTGTCACCGGCTATTCGGGTGGTCTTCGATCTGTCTCCAACCAAAATCGCAACCGTTTAAGTTCCGTATCGAAACTCTCGCTGCGCCGTTGATTGTGTTAGCGTTAGCACTGGCGTCAGGGAAATCGTCTCAACAAGCAGCTACTTGATTCTTTTGGAAAATTGGAGTGGGAGGGAGGGATGGGCTGAAGTGGAGATAGTTTAAAATTCACAAAAATATACTTTATCATTTGAAATTCCAACCAGTGCCAGCGAAAAAGCGTGAGCGGTAAGGTACCGGGTTGATGAGGAAGGTCGTAGTCGACCATTATGAAAGGTATAGAAAGGGAGAACAGTGTTGAATACAGGAGTAGAAGAAGTGTGCTAGGCTACAACAATGGCTCGTGCCCCCACAAAAGGGGGAATTCCTGCTGATTCCAAACTTTGCCCTCCGACCTGTCCCATGAAGAAAATTAACCCTTGGGTCCTCTAGTTCTTCCCAGTTCCCTGCTGAGAAGCAGCCACCCACGAGGTGCTGGAGGAGGCTCCAAAGTGCAATTGGAGTAAAATATCATGCTTCCGAACCTGACCATGTAAGCTTATAACAAGCGATGTTGCGATGCACTGAATTTTCTCACAATCACAAACTTGGCCGACAGATGGTCAACTTTTGTTTTTGTCCAGTTTCAGCCATTCGACATGACACAACCGTGTTCGGCCGCCGATTGTGACAAGACGAAGAATCCCGTCTGCGACTCTAATAACCGGACACACAAAAACATGTGTCTGTTCAAGTTTTTCGCATGCAAGGTACGAAAATTTAGCTGAGAAGGTGGACTAGCAAACTTAGTGGCCGGTTATTCATGAAGATTCTGTTGTTGGTCTGTGTTGATGACAATCACTGACAGGGAAGTTTTTCATCTGTCTGACATCTGAAACAGCTTTTCATCCTAGGAGGCCGGTTTTCAACACTAAAAACAGGCTTAAGCCGTCTCTATGCAATTCCTCATGACGAGTCCCTTGTACTATTTCCTGAATTGACAGGCAGAAGCCAAAATGAGCAAAAGAGAAAACTGTTCCGGAGGAAGTCATGCTGTTCGAGGTGCTGGGCACTCAATCACAGCTTACTGGCTCAAACCAAAAACAGAGTCTCAGCCACATCGCGATTTCAAGTCACTCAGTATGGGGCTGAATCGTAGTTAAAATAACAACTCGGTTTCAGGTTCATCGGCATGACGGCCGAATCGTGGAACTCGCTTATGTTGGCGAATGCAAAGCCGGAGTGAATTTGGTGAGGATGTCAGGGAATATTTCTTTGGTGGTCCATATTCGTGTCACAGTTTCCCTATACTTAACAACCACTTACTGCGAAGAATGAGAGATAGGAAGGAAGGATGGAGATGAGAAGGAATAATAGTGGAAAGAGAGCAGGCAGAGATAGTTTTTGCCCATTCACTGGAAGCCTTTATGAAGCGCATTTTCATGTCATGAAAAATATACTTAGGAACTGTGAAAAGCTTAACTGAAATAGTATAGTAAAAGAGTTTCTCTCAATCAGAAGCTCATGAATGATTACAGTTTTGAGTTTTTCCATGGTCCAGAGCGCAATCTTTTTTTTGTTTTCCCTAGCCTTGCTTGCTTGAAAGAAATTTTTTGTACTGTCAAATGATTTGATTTTATTTGGTTTATCAATGCTAATTCAAGTTCAATGTTCAGGTTGAAATGAATTGCCCTCCGTGCCCACTGTCACCATCGGACGTCACCATTTGTGACAATCAGAATATGGTAAATCAAGCACTTCGATTTACTAAGGATGTTACCTTGCTCTATATATATTTGGTATATCATATTATATCATATCATATCATATCATATCACATTTCATCATTTCATATTACACCACATCATTTTATATCATATCCTAACAAATCATATTATCTTATCTACGCAACAAGGTTCCAAGAAGACCTAATTTGAAAAATGTTTTCGGTTACTGCGTGACCTCTTAATTCCCTTTTTGTCGTTTTGAAGCTTCCCTATTTCAGACGCACAGATCACTGTGTGAATTGGCCCGTTTCAACTGCCAACAGCGAATGCGTTATGAAAGCGAACGAGTATTGGTTCATATCGGTCAATGTCATTCACGAAGTCTCACTTTTTCACTGAAAGTGAGTGAATTCGCTGAGATTTCAATTAGTAGGCCGCCTAGTATGCGTCAGCGGTTCAGTCACTCTGGACAATCCAATAAAGATTAGCTGACGAGAGGAGACAGTAGACTATCTTGAAGAGATCAAAATCGAAATTCGATTGGTGATCTACATTCACCTCCCTGACTGTACTTGCAATTCTTGCAATCCTAGTAGAATTTATGTGGGAACTATCGCTTTAGTGGAGACTATCCTGCTCTTCGTAGCTCAAGTCAGGCCAAGAATACCGAACCATTTATGCATGGTAAGAATTTTAATAAGATTATATTGATTACGGTAAAAGAAAATGTTGAACGAAAGGTGGCTGAATAGTTGTTGAGTAAACTGAGGATGCTAATTTCAGGATGAGCAGTGCCCCAAAAATTGTTCAGAAGAGAGGAAACCTGTCTGCGATGCTCAAGGTAACACACACAAAAATCTGTGCCACTTCCAACAAAGCAGCTGCCTCATCAGAAAGGTTTGTTATGATTACAGAGATCAATCTTGATGATGGTGACCATCCTGTCCCACTAAGGATTGAATTTTCTCTTTGAGAGAAGGGGCCATAGCTTGTTGTTAGGATGCGACAGGAAAGGAAGGGTGGGGAGAAAGGCCCATACCGACCAAAACGGTCTCAAACGAACGATCTTGGGTCCGGAAGGGGAAAAGTAGCTTCTCACATATTTTCGAAAATGGAGTTTACGAATACTGTCTGGGTGAGAGTGCACAGACAAGAGCAGAAAAAACTACGTCACCGTTAGCAGCCGTTCACTGGTCTCTCAGTGAGCATGAGCTCCAACTATTCAAGACGAGCTCCTTCACTGGTTTTCTTGTTATTATTCATGATAAAGGAAAGTAGGAGATTTTCTACTTCAGGAGGGAAGACCAGCTCCAACATTACTCATGTTAAAGCCGTGTTCTGATGCAGCCCGGAGCTTTCCCAAAGTGAGAACTTCCATTACTTCTTGATACATTACGATGTAAAATGAAATCATTTCGGATTCATCAAAAAACAGAGTAGAACTAGCTTTCAGTGGCTGCCATGTTTACATAACTAAGTTTTCAGGTGATTCCGTCAAATTCAATCTCGCCACACAAAGTCGACTCTTCGTCTCCTTGTACAGTCTAGTTATCAGGTCTGAATTTGGGAATGAAAAAACAAGAATCTAGTTTGTTCAGTGGAAACGACATCAGCTACAACTTCTGCATACGAATGCCCTCCACCTGCTTGTACATTGAAAGGGCAACCAGTCTGTGACACACAAGGAGTTCTACATGAGTATGTGCCCTTTTATAGAGAGATTTTATTTGAAGATGATTAAGCTATACGCCTTTACTATCAATAAATAGGTCCAAAGGGTCACTTTGGAGGCGATTTCTTGTGGACGTTCCCTATCACCATGCTCAGAATGGGTTCGAAGCAGGCTTTCCTGAGGACTCGCCATTTCCGAAAACACACTCAGAGTTGCAGCATCTTTGCACAAAATACTATATCGTAGCCGACATATTGATCGTTGAAAATCAATAATCCGCGCTCCCACAGGCTCACCACAAAACGACCAATTAATTGTATACGCGGTGGGGCGAGAGAGCGCAGACAACTAGGCAATTCACTGGGGCGATATATACACCTGACTGGAAATGATCCTAATGTTCGAGATGTTTTCATTATCGCCGCTTTCTTTTCAACGAGGTCATACTCGCTCTGGTCACTTTCACCTTACGTAGCAGATCTACTTATATGGCCTATTGCGCCTACTGCCTTCACATTTATTAAGGAATTAGAGTACTTAGAGATAAAAATATAAATAATAAAACAAATAGAACAACTAAAATCGAGTAATAAACATAGGCTTCAGAAACATCTGCCTATTCGTTCATGCGAGATGTCTTGCTGCTCGATCTGGTGTGACATTGTCGGCTCAGAATGAGGAAAACTGTCTCAGGACTAAGTGCCAAGAAGTAAGAAATATCCAAAGTAGTTGTACGAAATCTATGCCTTCAACACACAAAGCATTGGTTGAAGGAGTGCTCATCAAACGAGAAGCCGGTGTGCGGTAGCAATTTCGTCACTTACAAAAATCTTTGTTATTTTAACAAAGAGCGATGTAAGGATGAATCGCTTTCAGTGCTATTTTACGGTAAGCTGGTCCAACCTTTCTTCGTTCCATTCTTTCCTTATGTTTATAAAATTAGCTCAACTACGGAGGCTTACGGTCACATGCGCTACACACTGGTCCACTCCTTTGAGACCGTTTCTAACGAAGGGTGTAGAATTGTTAGTTGGTACTGATTTTTTACTTGAACACTTCGGGCGTTGATCAATCCTGTCTAAGGGATGCACCCCGCACTCGGCTTCTGTTCAGAACCGCAGTAGTGATTTCTGCGTATGTGGTCCATACAATAACTTGCGATGGCCAGTCGACGTACAAATGCTTATATCCTCCCACACAAGTCTGGTACCAATAAACCTGCCGGTAGGGATGGAAGGCTTGGTTGGCCTAAGCGGCTATTGATCCGGGTGGTAGTGCGTCACTTGCTACAGCTCCACCTCACCCTTTCACTTCATTGATTGTTCATTAATATTAATAATAGTTGATAATTAATGAGGATTGGAAAAGCGACCTTTTCTAAAGATTTCACACTCTTTTTGTAAGGAATTAAATAGGCCTCGCATTCATCCGGTAGAAGTAGTCATTTCTGGGCAAAACGACTATGGGGAGAATTCTTTACGGAACATAATAAATAATTCAAAGATAAAATCTTCTACACCTAGCCTCCTCAACGGAAAGACATTTCTTGTTCACTGCTTCGAGCGAACACCTGCGAACTGAACCCGATAAATGGGTAGATAAGCTGTATAGGTGGCAGCTGCGGGAAAACCTGACCACCGTCCATCTGCTATGGCAACTCTATAAACCGGAGAGACGAGGAGGGTTCCCCGGTTGGAGGATTCCTCGGTTTAATGGGAGAAATCGCAAATTTCTGTACTGAAGTCAGAAATGCTTTCCTTATCAGCCCTCCATTTTAAGGGGATGCAAATCAAGAAATCAGGCAAACCCCAAGTCTAAGTAATGGTTATTGGTAACGAGCCTACATGAGAAACAATTTAGATCGGTCCGGGTATATTTGGACTTTTCTTTCACAACTGTTTGTTTTCTAGGCAGATGCGAGGAATGTCTGGCAAAACCGTGCCCTCCAGTACCTCGGGATGCTACAGATGATCATTTTGTGTGTGATGAAGATGACTTTACTCGTACCGTGTGCGAATTTCAAATGCTCAGCTGCATTTTAGAGAGAAGTATCAGCGCGAACATGAGCATTCAACATGTAAGCTAGCCAAATTTTGACGGTTTTTCAATGTTTGTTACAATGTTTGAACAATTGTTTTTTCATGCGAAAATTGTTATTAGCCTATAGGACACGTCTCTGGACACAATTGGTTTGTATTCATCTCCAACAATTCCATTAGTTCAAATCCCACAAAATCAGTGTCTATTACCAGCTTCTTCTGTAATACATGGAAACACATGGTGGGAACGCTAACCTCTCTTGTTATGAACCCTTCTATGAGCAGCGGCATCATAAGCTGTGCTCCCTCTTCATATCTGTAGAATCAACGACTTTTCGCCTTCTGACAACCCTTTTACGTTGTGGGCAAATTTTTAGTAGCCCATGATTGACAATTTTTGAAAAAGCTCTTCAGTACTGCTACGCTTTTTGTCGAACCGTTCCCGAGAGACCAAACTTTTCTGACGTGAGCAATGTCTTGCAGAAGGAACAACTCATTACCACTAACTTTACTTAATTCAGCTTGGCAAATGTTGCGAACCGGATCTATCATGCAATGTTGGAATATGGCCCCCAGTTTGTGGGACTGATGGTCGGACGTATGCCAATAAATGTGCATTGAGTGTGGAAGACTGCCGAAATTCGAAATTGCAGCTGCCTGCGATAAAAGTTGCCCATTTGGGAGCGTGTGAAGAAGCGGAAGCGGAGTATGATATCATTTTTAAGAAAATTCATATATAGTTCAGAAAGAAAAACCAAGATCTTCAGAAATATATTCAACACATGTCTATTCCAGCGTCCCACTCGTTGTTGTATCAGGAGAATTTGGCGATATGATCGGAAGCTCGGAGCGATCGACGGAAGCGATCGCTACAACAACTACAGGCAAAGTTACTTTGCATTTCAAAAGCTTTCCTTTCTGAATGTGCATATTGCAGGTGAAAAGTACTCCGAAGGTATAGCTAACTGCCCCAACTCATGCGATAACATCTACAATCCTGTTTGCGGCTCCGACGACATCACCTACACGAATATGTGTCATCTGAAGTTGGCACAGTGCCTGCAATCGTGAGTGAGCCCTGCTAAAGAAATTATGGGGCGTGGGCCATGATGCGCCACCGCTTTCAAAACTAGGACGCCGGACCGAGTCCACTTCGACTTATCGGGAAAGGGCTTTCATATTTGGCTCCTAGAGGAGAAAAAGCGATTGCGATGGGCCATCACGGCCACAACAGGAGTTATGAGGCCCAAATGAGAGTGTATTCTTAGGACAATGATAGGACTGGCATACAGAGGAGAGTGCTGTTCGATGGATTGTCCTAACAATTTCAGTCCAGTCTGCGACGATCAGGGAGTAACTCATCAGGTACTTTCAAACATCTTCTGCGCTTCTTATCATGAGTTTTCATTCCACAAATGAGAATTAGAATTTTTCACCATGTTTATCTTTTCAGAATTTGTGCTTCTTTGGCAGAGAGCGCTGCATTGTCGAGAGGATCACTGGGAAGAATATTACCATTCAAAAGTTCGACGTATGTGACGATAATGCATGTGACAAAGAGTGTCCAGCAACATACAAGCCTGTATGTGCTTCTAACGGTCAGTTCGAACTGGGAACTAGTACGTTACTCATGAGCTGGCTGCGATTGGTTAGCATAGGCAACAATCAATCCCAGGAAGCGGGCGAACAGTTTACCGAACGGTTAACTAAAGCAGATGACTATGCATTTTCACAAATGATACCTCTTTACACACTTCTAACATTATTTTACGTAACATTTATAAGTACAAGCCTATTTTAGGAGAGACTATGGTCAACGAATGCCATCTAGAGAAACTGAAATGTTTCATGGCCAAAAAATTCTCGTCTGGCCGCCTTGTAAAAAAACTTCACGATGGTAGGGATATTCTCTATAAATATGAATATGATATCATATGATATAATATAATACCATAATATAATATAATATGATGTAAAGAATTTTTGAACACAAATGTTGTTCACTTAACTCAACCTCCTATTTAGTTCTATAATCTAGGGGAATGCTGTCCAAACGAAAATTGTGGCTATGACTTCTCTCCAGTATGCGACTCTCAAGGTCACACTCACGCTAATCCCTGTGTATTCCGACAAGCCGCATGCTTACAACGTAAAACGAATAATGTTACAATAACTATTCAGTACAATGTAAGTACGGTCACCTGGAAATCAACCTGTTCACATAGCTAATGAAGAAAGAACACTGGCTGTAAGGATGGAAATATCTTGTTTTACAGGGCCAGTGCTGTAACAGACAATGTGAGGGCCAACATGTACCGATCTGCGCCGGTAATCGAACTTATCATAATCTTTGCGAGTTCAAGTACGTTTTTGAGAGCTATCATGAAAATGCCTTCAAGTCTTCAAATAGGGAACAAAATCATGCATTTCATACAGGGTGGCCCAGTGTGAAGCGGAACGTCATGGTCAAGTCTTTGCAATATCCTACCCCGGGGAATGCTGCTTGATGCCAAAAGGAAACTGTGAAGTATCTGGTAAGTTCCTTCTTATTGAGTTCACCTAAACTCCCAGCAAGCTCCTGAACCGAAGTGTCAGGGAAAATAAGTGGCGTACCATAATCTCAGCTCTTCCTATACTGTACAAGCACAGAAAGAACCCTGTGAAAGCTTTAGAAAAAGCCTAAGAGCTGGAAAAGCATGATTTTATGGTGCAGTTCAAGTTTGACGACACATTTATTTCGTTTTGTTTTGGAAAAATAGTCATGGAATACTTACATACTTAAAACAAATGCTAGTCTGATTGCTTTTCACCACCTCAGCGCCTTCCTCCTATGGGGGCGAGGCAAGCGTTGTCACCCTTCAGTTTTAGAGTTAAAATCCAGGAAGGACACAGATGGTAGAATGGGAACAAGGATAGTGGGTGGCATAACGGGACCCCGCCCGCCGGAGATGGGGCTCATGCGAGAATTGCTTTCTCAGAGCTGGAGCATGCAAATTTGGAAGATATGCAGGCAGCGAGATGGGAGCACTAGTGGCAGGTGTAGACCCTGCCCACCGGGGGTGGGACGTGCGCGGAAGTTGTTACCGAGGAGCTAGAACGTTGAAATGGGGAAGATGTATAGACGCCAAGATGAGAACTCTAATGGCAGTGGGCAGGAATGGTTTCTGGGGAACGGGGAAACCTAAATTGGCGTTCCTACCCAAATGCCTCAGAGATATGCACCGACAATTCGCAGCTTTGCTCCCTTCGAACATGGAGTATACGTGTGATAAGGTTTCCCCTGATGGGACATTGGCCAAACGCAGATTCGCTATATCGGTCTGTTGTGTAACTGACCACTCAGTCGTAGATTTGTTCCCTTTAGTCGTACAGCGTTCCATTTCCAAAAAAAGTTGAAGACATGTGGCGGGAACGTACCTGGAGCGATCGATAATGGCAGCCAATTTTGGCCATCGTCGACTTGTTACTCTGTATGGGGCTGCTACACACTAATCATTTTTTCAAAAAAAGGGGAAAGACTAGTGATAGGCCTCAATACGACATCCCAACCCTAACAGGAGGAGGAGCCCCGCATTACCGGATGATCCGACTGGTCAGGATATAAACCGGACTACACCCAGCAAAGTGCAGGGATTTTACAACAAATGGATTACAAGTTAGTGTTTCCCCTGTTTTGTGAATCATAATACTAGTGGATCTCAGTGATTTGACGAGCTTTTAGCCTATTATTAAGCCACTTTCAACCCTTGCATTGTATACAATGTTCTTTCATGGAAAAATGATAGTCATTGAATTATACAGGGTGGGCCAAAATTATGATTACACAGAAATCACATCGCAGAAAACGAATAGAAAGNCCATACAATAACTTGCGATGGCCAGTCGACGTACAAATCAGTGCTTATATCCTCCCACACAAGTCTGGTACCAATAAAC